GCTAACGGGAATGTGCCACATGACTAGTAGCGAACTTGGATGCGTGGCAGTCTGGTAGAAAGTACTGTTCGCGTGACATTTTGATATTTTTTTTAAAGTGTCATTTAGGTCAGTGTTCCGAGTTGGGCTTTACCTTATTTTCTATAAAACAAACGATATAAAATTTCTGTAATAAAAATCAGGTGTAAATATCATTACTCTTTAATGACATTAATACATGAGTGGATAAGATGGTATATCAATATGTTACAACTAATTTCTTTTAAGAGAGTAAATATATAAATTTCACAAAATTATCTTCCTCTAAATGCTTCTTTCCGGATTTTTATGAAAAATTTAGCCATTTTTTTTTATCAAAATAAGTTAATCAGTGAATTTTAGTAATTATTATACAGTTTACACCATAATTTAACAAACAAATACTTTTAAATCCTAAAAAACTTTGGCAGAAATTTTAAAAAACACATAGTTTTTTTTTCATGACATCGTCACTTATACAAAACCTATGATGCACGGACACTGACACGGGACACGCCGACACGTTAATTCTAAAAATGGCATATTTTAACACGTTGGGACACGTTTTGATATTAAATAATATTTTTAATATATATAATATAATTTATATTTAATAGATATAACAGTCCATAATAAGTCATAACCAATCAAATATTCAAATTTCATAACATAAATATAAACAAAAATAATTTTCCGTACTTTGTTAATTTTTCATGTCAAATTTCATAACAGAAAAAAATTGACCACGTGTCCGAGCGTTGACCAGGTGTCAGAAAAAGTTGACTGTGTGTCGGAAGAACGTGTCGAAATGTGTCGGAGAGTTGACCACGTGTCCTAAAATATTGACTGCGTGTCGGAACGTGTCCGTGTCGGACACGTGTCCGACACGTCCTTTTTCTAAAAAATTGTGTGTCCGAGTATTGGAGTACAAAACCTATTTCAATATAATAAAAACAATAAAATGGATTACAAAAAGGACTAAAGGAATGTTGGGTATAACTTATATTTCACATTGAGATAACAAATTTTATTGGTGGAACAAAGAAATCAAACGAAGTGTAGATACCAAATAAAATGTAACACTTAATTTAAAGTTAATAAATTGTGAATTTGTAACAAAAGAGAGAGACAACATTACTGATTTGACTATATTCACTTCACTGCTACTCGTTACAAGTCATTCGATTTACAAGAGAATATAAATAAGATTTAAAAAATCTTAACAGAAGTTATTCATAGTCTCAAGTCCAAACTACTAAAAAAAATAAAATTACAATAAATCAGAGGCCCACAACAATGCCAGGCTTCTAGAGCCTGGGGTGCTGTCCCCTGCACTTGATGACCCCGTCAACAAGGACCCTCATCATATATGCAAAGTATAAACCCAACATGAAGATGTTTAATGAACCACCTGTGCAACTGATAGATCTCCTTCAATAGGACTCTAGTTTTATTCCCTCTTCGTTAGTTACCACTTTGTAATTTGTTTTGTATTGTGGGGTTCCCCACTCCTTATTTACAAAAAAAAATAAAATAAAATATATAAAAGATAAATAGTTCTGAATGGAAAAAGATAACTAGAAATAATGGATGCGTTATGATATATTTAATTCTGAATTTAGACAACAAGGATCGCCATCCAAATCCAATTGTTTTTAATACATCATTTTTTAGGGGTTGGTTCGCTTCAGGTTTTGTCTAAAAGAAAAGGAAAATTAAACCGATCGATTAAGGTTTAGTTTGATTTGTCTTTATTTTAAAAAAATATGAATTGTTAACTACCAAAAAAAAAAGTATGAATTGTTATATACACTTTTTAAATTTTTTATCTTCAATAATCTAAAATTTTAAATTATTAACCATTATAGGGTGAAATATTAGTTTATTGCATTTCCTTATTTGTAATAGTAATCAAATCAATTCCAAAAATGTTTAGTAAATATAACCAAAGGCATCTTTAATAATCTAGATAGTAGGTGAGCGCGCCAGAATTAATAAGGAAAAGCAGAAAAAGAGGAAATACCTAATTAGTAAGGGAAAAATTATCCTTTTAAATAACACAACTTATATCATTTCACTCTTACAAAGAGGTGAGACCCATACCTTTATTTTTTTGTCAACTCTCTCTCCTCCTTTATCTATCTCTTTCTCTCTCTTAAAATGACACAACTTTTTTTTGGTAAGTTAAATGATACAACTTTACATCCTTTAAAATGACACACACTTTTCTCAGTTATTAAAGTCTACACGTTTATCTTTAAATGATTAGTAGAAATTTTTATCCCTTTATTTTGAAAAAAATTAAATTCATCCCTTTCTTCAATATAGGCCAACATCGAATACAGGCTTCCTTTACTAAGCTTAAAGGGGCATTTGATAGATGAGAAAAAAAAAATTACCGGAGAAATATAATTACTAGGAATATATATGGTGAAAAGTTAAAAAATATTGTTTGGCAGACCAAAATATTATCGAAAAAATTGGGTTATATTTTCTAATTCTATGTTTGGTTGAAGATAAAATATTGATGAAAAATGAAATGAAATTACCAAACTAACCATTGATTAAATACAAAGAAGACTCTCTCTCCAGTTTTCTTTTGGCACGTTTTTTTAGAAGGAATATTTGTGTCCATTGCCTTTTTTTTCTACTTTTTAGTTTGATGGGGGAATAAGGTGATATTCTTAAATGACAATTTTTTTTTTAATTTTACACACAAACCGAGATTACTATGCAAATTCGAATGATAGACAAATTCTTTAAAACCTCCTACCAAACATGATCAACTAGAAAACTCATCTAAACCTTTCCGGTCATCCTAAAAAAAACCTCCTACTAAATACCTCCTAAAGGAATATGCTAGGGAGAATATCTTCTTTGTTTTGTTATCAGAAGTGTCCTAAACTTTTAGCTTTAGAAGAAAAATAAGGAGAGTGAAGATTCAAGTAGAGATCAAATACCTCCCTTTAGGGCCTATTTTGTGTGATGTATAAGGCTTATTAGTATAAGTTTATACTATACGTTATAATATTTTTAGTTGTTGACAGTGACATTCGTATAGTATAAGCTTATACAGTAGAACCCCTTAATACATCAAAATAATGTATAACTTAGTCAGGCATAAGAGAGTGAGATTAAGGCTGATAAGGGGTTGATGTATGAACATTGTTGACGAGTGAAATTCTCAATTAATAATTAATTTTTAAAATATGGAATTTTTTTATTTTTATAAAATTTAATATATTTTATTACAGACCGATCAATATAATTTTATAAAATTAATATCATTAATATATTTGGAATAATTATATAAATTATTTATTACAGGGTAATTTTGTTAAAAATATTTATTTTTTTCCTATCTAGTATTACAGAGTGCATTACCAAATATTGGATGATATTATCTTATACAATATATTATCTTATACAATATCGTGTCAAACACTGGAGAATACTAAAATTTAATCAATCTTATACAATCAGATTTTATACTCTCATGTCTTATACTATCAGATCTTATTCTATACTGTGCACAAAATATGCTCTTAGTGTCAAGTTTGGAAATTCAAAACTTATGATAGTATTGGTCAAATATAGAATTATAATGATAAATATTAATTCTAAATATCAAAACTTCAGATTTAATGGTAATAAATATCTCGAATAAATATAAACATTAAAATATGGGATATGATCCGTTTACAAATTTTTTTTTGTAAATTACACTAAGTACGACCGGTCGTACACTGCATGATTAAAGTATGACTGGTCGTACTTAGTGTAATCTGTAAGAGTTTTTAAACAAAAAAATTTATAAATATAACCTGCCCCTTAAAATATTAACATATTTATTTGCTTAAATATTTAAAATTTTCAAAATATACAAAAAACAATTTTAAAATGTAAAATTAGTAATATTATTTAAAATTTCCTATAAATATTATAAAATTTAATTCGATGATATTAAATATCTTTATATAAATACTAAATGAATAAAAGTTTAAAATTTCCAATATAACGCCTAAAACAAACAAGATGTAAGATGAAAGGCTTCAAGATAGACACAAAACAATTCAACAAGACCACTGAATATAATAATAATAATAAAATAATAATATTAAAAACAATAAGACAAATTCTAGACTGGCAAAACCTCACCCAGCGAAAACTATGAAGCACCGACACTTCAAAAACTCTAACGTGTCGTGTCCGACACTTTCCGACACTCTCCTACACTCCGACACTCCAACACGCGTTATAGAAATTCAAAAAAAATATTTAAAAGTTACGTTGCGTGGAGTTTTTAGTTCCAACTATTAGATTCGTTGGATTACGATTACCATTTTATTGAGTTTAATATAAATATTTGGGATATCTTATGTTTCTTTGCAAAATTGATGAATATTATAAGTTTAATTTTATTTTTTTGTTAAATTATTGAATATTAAATATAATAAACACTACATAAATTAAAAAAAAATATTTAGTATCAAAACGTGTCCTAATGTGTCGAAATCTAACATTTTTAAAATTAACATGTCGAAGTGTCGTGTCATATCGCGTCACGTGTCCCGTGTTAGTATCGTTGCTACGTAGAGCCAAAATGTCATTGGTGCATAGGAATTGATAATTAATTTTACTTAATACAATGAGTAAAATTGTTACAGGTTCCTTTCAAAATTTGAATGTAGACAACACTTTGTATAGTAACTCCTTGAATATATATTTTCTAAAATTTCTTTCTTACAATGGGGTCCATTAAATGATGTAAGAAAAATACAAATAATCCAAGAAAAAACGCAAAAGAACATATATACCATATAAGCATGGATTTCGTCAAAGCTAGCCTTAAAAGAGAACATGATAACGTCTATTCCATAAGGTTGTATCCATTGCCTTCAATCTCTATAAACACACACACACACACACACACCAGATAAACTCAAAAAAAAATCAAGGTTTTCTTCAATCACCATAGCCATATGGCACCAAGCTTTGACATGCTGAGTTCGTTGCCAGATTCTTTGCTTTCAAGCATCGTTTCCTACCTTCCATTCAAGGAAGCGGTAAGAACATCTGTCCTTTCCAAAAGCTGGGAAAACATTTTCAAGGCAACAAAAAACATAGAGTTCAATGAACTCTTTTTTGTTAGATTTGATCAACCTGCTGATGATGAAACTAGAGAAGCCCAAAGAAGGGCTTTTCTGGATTTTGCAACATCTTGGATTGATAACCATGGACAAAATGTCTTGGACAAGTTCTCTTTGAGGTTATCAATGCCTAATAGAAATGCTGTTGGGGTCATAGAAAGATGCATTGCTTTTGCTACACAGCATGGGGTGAAGGAGTTGGAGCTTGACTTTTCTGATCCAGATTGGAACGAGAATATTATTTATTATGATGATCATGAGGCCTTGTTTGAATTGCCTAGGCATGTTTATGACCACAGTTGCCTTGAATATTTGAAGTTGTTTTCTTGTAGTTTTGTTGCAACTGATACGGTTAACTTTCATGCACTCAAAGAAGTTTCTTTGGGTTGGATGGAAGTGAGACTCACTGCTATTCAGGCTTTGTTATCCAATTGTAAAATGCTTGAGATTTTGAGTCTGAAAAAGTGCTGGAATTTTGATGCCTTTGAAATCGGGGGAGAAATCCTGAGCCTAAGAAAGCTGGTGGTGGAAAAGTGCCGTTTTCAATTTGATATTTTCAAAGTGCATGCACCAAATCTAAAGTATTTCAAGTACTCCGGGTTGATGAATTTTTTTGTCCTGGAACTACGTTCAATGGTAATGGAAGAGGCAGATCTTGATTTCTCCCTTGAATTTGGATTCGAAGGACATGGTTCTTTCCTTTACCACCTCTTGGAAGATCTCCACAATGTTAGTGTTTTGACTGTCTGTAGTTACTTGCTTCTGGTAATTTTCTTCACCCAGTTTTTTTCTTCTCAAAATTAATTTTTTATTAATTATATATAGTCAATCAGCTGCATTAATTAAGGTACTTCTGTATTTTTATTGTATTCAAATAGTATTAATATTCTAGATAAGAGAGAACTAAAATACAAGTGGTGTATTAAATCTGGATTCACATAATACACAGGGATATGGGATATTGGAGAGAACCCTGGTCTCTTAGAACACATTGTTGTCTAGAGCCACCTAATACATATATCCTTTCCCTTTAACCAATCTTTAGTTTTCAACCTCCTTCTACACCTTGATCTCTAGATACACCTATTATACAAGCATATATCCTTTCCCTCCTAGCCCTCCTTGGTTTTTAACCTCCCCTAATAACTTGTTGGGGTTACGTGACCCAACAATTTCTTCTGTGTGCTCGCAGGTCTATATAATCCCTTCAGGTATATGTAATGTGTAAATGTGATGTTCATCAACACAAATGTGCAACCTCTCATATCCGCCCATCATATAATATGATGCTCTAAATATGTATATGAACCAAATGGATAAAGAAGTAAATTAAGTGGTTAATATCCCCATAAATTCTTACAAGATAGAAGATTGTTCCATTTAATTAAGTAACCCATTTCTTGAGGAAAAAACATATCTACCAGAGCCATATCCACAACTCTATATCTTCCATCTACCTTTTGCTTCATTCTTTGCTGAGCATGAAGCAAATGATGCTGATCAGTTCACCATGCTAGATGATATTATGTGCTTGCAGCATATCCTCAGTATTAGCCACACTCGGTTCAAATTAGATTAGTTCAGATGAATAATATATATATATATATATATATATATATATATATATATAGCCACACAGCTTCCATCAGGCTATAAGTAACTAACTATTTCCCTCCCCTTCGGTGCTTGTCATGTGTTGTTATCTCTGTCCTACCTAGTGTATTAGAGGCTTATAATATAATATTCATTTTAGTCCATGATAACTTTCAGTCTTGATATATATATATATATATATATATATATATATATATATATATATATATATATATATCTTTTTTGTTTTAATTAACGTTTTGTGTTTGATATATATGCCAAGGTTATTCCTACTCCAATGGAACCGATGCGTACTCACCGTGACATGAATGTAACGCATTTGACAATGAAGACGGCTTTGCACGAGAATGAGTTTTGTGGAATCACATTCATGCTTAACAGCTGCCCGATATTAGAGCGTCTCACCATTGAATTAGGTTTTGCAAAACACTTGTTTGTGAGTATTGCATATAATTTATGTTCCTATTTATACATATATATATATATATATATATATATATGATTCATTGGAAGAAAAACGGGCAAATAAATTTTTGTTGTTTATATTGTAGGGTTACGAACCAGTATTCCAATATGATCCCAAGAGATTCTGGATAGACGATGTATATATTTACAGATGCGTGAGACATACACTCAAGGAGGTGGAGATTAAAGGGTTTACAGGAACTGCGAATGAGCTTCTTGTGCTGAGCTATTTTATCGTTTGTGGGAGTGTGCTGAAAAAGATTACTATCAATATAGTGAAGGATGATGATGATGCTACAGCTGCCTACACCCGTGAAGTTGCAGAAATCCTCCTCACCTTTCCAAAAGCTTCACCTGATTTGGAGATTTCAATCTCTTAATGCATATTAATTTCAGAGTAAACTGCGTCTGTGTGCTACTTTTTTTATTTAATATGTTATTGTGTTTAATTAATTAGTTGCTAAGACACTTTTTGACTTATTTCAGTGTTGTGTCAATAAATCTTTAGAACCTTCAGTTATATAGACAAACAGATGCCGGTTGCGTTGGATAATTATATGCATCGTGTGATTCGTGTTCATGATTTTTATACATCTTGATTTCTTAAATTTCGTTTTTTTTTTTTATTTCATAATGAAAAAATATATATCTAAGGAGTTATAAATTGCACATTCAGGTTTTGATGGTATAAATAATTTATACATTAGCTTTAATGTGATAAGTTTTGATTCTGATACCGGCTAGCTATTTATTTCTGTGCATTAATTCGGTTTTTAAACCTCACTAAATGCAAGACGGCTGACTATGTTATATATGTACTTTTTTTTTTTTTAACTTCATGAGTTTAGATATATATGAGTATTACAATATTATTCAATTTACGATTTAATTTTGACAGAGTGCCTTTCAGGTTTAGATTTTTTTTTTTCTTCAACTACGGTAAAATCTAGTATTTATATGCATCTAATCATTCACGCATAATGTTAATACTTAAAATCTAAAAGCTTAGCAGTATTAAGTACTTCATCAAAGGGGTTAGATAGATCCAAATTTGCTGCTTTTATGGCAGGACAATGATATTCTACATAAAAAATACTTACATTAATTATACATTTTATTTATTTGAAAAAATAAAGATAAAAATTTGTTTTATTTTATAAGATAAATCACAACATATAACTCTCACTTAGGTTGTTTTTCATAAATGCCCTCGTGTGCTCTCAGTTAAAACAATTAAATTTGCATTATATCATTATAAACATTAAACATAACCTCTTGCTTATAATTAAGATTAAAAACACCATAACCTCTTGCTTATAATTAAGATTAAAAACACCATAACCTCTTGCTTATAATTAAGATTAAAAACACCCCAATTCATCAACCCACCACCAGCTGCGGTCACCACCGGTTGGGGCAGCAGTGGCCATGATAAGTAATTTTGGTGACTGTATTGGCGATGGTGGACTAAAGGAATATGAATGTTTTTATCATAAAATTAAGATATGTGCTTAATTGTTATAATATTATAACATAAGTAGATTAATTGAGTCAATTAAAAATACATTATATTTTAAAAAAAAAATTACGTGATGGATGGTTTATACTTTACCTTAATTTCTATAAAAAGAAACGATATAAAAATTCTGTAATCAAAATCAGGTATAAATATCATTACTCTTTTACATGAGTGGATAAGATGTTGCATCAAGATGTCACAACTAATTTCTTTTAAGAGAGTAAATATATAAATTCCACAAAATTGTCTTCCTCTAAATGCCTTTTTTCTGGATTTTTATGAAAAATAATAGTTAGCCAATTTTTATCAAAATGAGTTAACACTGTGAGTGACTTTTAGTAATTATTATACAGTTTACACCATAATTTAACGAACAATTGATTTTAAATCTTAAAAACCTATGGCAGAAACTTAAAGAACGCATAAAATAGTTTTTTTTTTCTTGTCACTTATGCAAAACCTATTTTAATAAAGGTAAAAAGGTGTGTCATTTTAGTGTGTTTACACTATGTTTTACTACTGGTAAGACATAGTGTTAATATAAAAAGTTGATTTTTTTTCTCTCTTCGGTCATATTAGTTGATGTGTAAAGTAAAAAAGAGAGTAACTTTTCATATTATAATTATGTTTTACTGATAAGACATAGTGTAACATATTAAAAAGACAAAAGTTGTGTCTTTTAAAAGGACATCCACTACACCCTTTAATAAAATAAAAACAATAAACTGGACTACAAAAAGGACTAGAGGAATATTATTCATATAACAATTTTTATTGGTGGAACACAAGCTAAGTGTAGATATCAAGAAAAGCACCATTTTAAGATTTTTGGGCAAAAGAATTATCCAGTTAAAGTTGATTGGATAAGTTTTTTCAAACTAATACAGTCAAACATGTCATTGATACTGACGGACTAGCCCCGTCAATGATACTGACGGGACTCGTGTCATGTCAGTACCACGTAGACAGTCCTGTTATCGTAAAACTTCGGAAGACCATAATTTTGACTTGGGTATCCAAATCAGATTTTTTATTTATTTCATATAACTTTTCGAGATCTACGCAATGACACCTTATTTAACATATTTTATCTTCTACAAACATAGTTTGAATTTGTAATAATGGTACCACAATCACAAGAGCGTTTAAATTCAGAAGATGGCACGTGCGGCAACTCATGGTATTGGTTCGGAAAGAACTCGGGATCTTCTGGATTTAAATGATCTTGTAATTGTGGAATTATTGTTGGAAATTCAAACTATGTTTGTGGGAGATAAAATATGTCAAATGAGATGTCATTGCATAGATCTCGAAAGTTATGTGAAATAAAAAAAATCATCTGATTTGAATATCCGAGTTAAAAGTTATAGCCTTCCAAAATTTTACGGTAGCGGGACTGCCTACGTGGCGCTGACATGGCACGAATCTCGTGAGTATCAGTGACGTTTTGATTGCATTACTTTGAAAAAACTTTTCGATATTCCTACTACCTGTTTTTTCTACTACCACTTCACTACCACTTTAATCACCATTGGATTCAAAAGTTATTTTTTTTTCTCTCTCTTCATTCAACTTTTCCTTTAATCAAATGGTGATTAGAGTGGTAGTAAAAAAAATAGGTAGTTAGAATATCCTAACTCAATGGGTAATTCTTTTGGCCAAAAATCTTAAAATGATGCTTCGGCCGTAGATACCAGCGAGTCAGCGACAGTCATATTCTCAGCCACTTCAAGATTTTGCTAACATTTATATCGTGGGTTGCACTTGGAAAAAAATAAAAGCTACCTACATCGCCTTGCATAAGCTAGCCCTTGGGCCTTGCCTTTGGGTCCATGGAATATAATATAATAAAATGTAACACTTAATTTAAAGTAATAAAGTGTGAATTTGTAACCAAAAAAAAAAAGTAATGAACTGCGAACATTACTGATCTGACTTTAATCAACATGTAGGCCCCAAATTTTATAGTTAATTTAATTAACGCGGAAACAAGTAGAATTTTGTAAAACTCAAGAGCTGAGTTTCCAATAAAGACTCCTATTTATTAGAGGAATTCTTGTTCCCAAGTCAATCAAGGGTCTATATATTCGTCAATGGGAAAAAATGACCAAGACAAATAAAGCAGGCCCCAGCATGTATGATAAAGGGAAACTTACTAAACCTACTTTCAATGTAAGTTGCAGCTGTAAGTGTTATACCTCTGCTTACAATTGACCATTGCAAATCTTGGAGAAGTCTTCCAAAACCATCAACGTGGTTACTATTAGAATGGGAATTGCACTCTGAAAGTCAATAGCACAGTCATTAGAAATTTCCCCACAAATATGTCAAGTTTGGGACATATTAACAAGAAATATTGACATGTTAAACACATATCATACATTAGCTTATAAATAATTTCAATCAGCTCCTTTTTCTTTGTAATGTTAATGAAAAATTAAAATCACTTACAGGTCATTATGGTTGTTAAAGCCTTATCAATATAATAATGCAGTTCCTCTATTCAATTGTATTTCTCTTTTTTCAAAAGAGTTTCTTGTGAGAAGCATTTGGAACTACTAGACTTTAATAAGTGACATCTAGTTCACGAATTCAAGTAATTCGAAAAGTATTGACTAAGTAAAGGCACCAGATTCCACTTTCTCGCTTCATTATAACTATGCAACCCTGCTGAAACACGGCTAAGTATTTGTTTGGTGTGATGTATAAAGTCTGATAGTATAAGCTTATATTATACGTTACGATTAGTGGCGGATCTAATTTTTTTTTTGTATATCTGCATATTTAGGACGGGGGTTTGGGGGGCGCTGCCCCCAAATTTTTTTTTTAAAGATCATGATCATGGTCTAATTTTTGCTTCAACTTCAAAAGTAAAGCTTTGGTGAATCAACCAAAGTTTTAAGGAAATAATCGATAATGATAATTAAAAATAAATAAACATCACAAAAAGACATTGATAAAATATAGTATAATTGTAGAGATTAATCGATCAAAAACTCACCTTTGTCGATGTCTATTTGATTCAAAGTTGGCCACTTTTGTTTCACAAAAAAGGTGAAAAATCTCGTACGATTCTCATCCACTTGATAAAAATTGAATTTCAGAAATCGTTGATGTCTATTAAGATTTGGAGCTAATAAAGTTTATCTAAAAAAAAAAAGAGACAAAACAATGGGCTACGATTTAAGCTTTAAGCTTTTAATTGTAGGGGTTGGGCCTATCTTTACTTTTTTTTCTTTCAATCTTCATATTTTTATTTTATTTTATTTTTGACTTGAATCACATATCCCATGTAAATTTTTTTTCCACCCAACTTTGTGTCTGCAAGTGCAGACAACTGTCAAAGAAATGAAGAAAGAGATGAACGAGAGAGAAGACATTCAGAGAATGCTGATGAGAGAGAAAGCTAAAGTATTTCATGTATTTTCTTAATGAATCAGGAACTGTACACGTTGATCTTTATAGAGATACATTGATGACACGTCACTGATTCTGTTTGAACAGAATCAGTTCCACACTAACTAATCCTTATTTGAGCTATTACAAAAGTGCCCTCAGCTGACATTACAAATATACCCTTAAGTGATACTTTACTCTAATAGTCCCCTGCAAACTCAGGGTGGATGAGAAAGAGAGGGAAGATCAGTCACACTGAGTTTGTCTCTGAGAATGGCAAACCGGGAGGCTGAGAGGCTCTTAGTTAAGGTATCAGCAATTTGATCAACAGCAGGAATGTGACACACTTTAATGTCCTTAGCTAAAACACGTTCCCGAACAAAAAATATATCTAACTCCATATGTTTCGTACGAGCATGGAGCACAGGATTGTGAGACAAAGAAACTGTGCTGAGATTATCACAC